CCCCCCCCCAATAGGAAAAAATACTCCTGATTACATTTTCTTTGAGGACATTTCCTAAAGTGCTAAACATGTTCATACCGAGAATGATGTAGAAATGAAATTCAGATCCAGCTGCTTGGGGTTAATGAAGGAAAACTGTGCTTCCAGGGAATCTTGAAACTGTGACAATTTGACGTCATGTGATAAAGTATAAATAGCCCGGCCCTTCAGGCTCACTTATGTGATATCAACACATTTTATGCCTTTCTTGTTTAATTTTAATCGTTAAACTGTGAAAAGGTCACAGTGTGGAGCATCCTCTTGGGCATTAAATAGCCCACGAGCAGAAAAACAATCGCTACTGACCAAAAGGACTAAATGCCTCTGACGCCCAGCTCAGGTCAGCTCAGACTTGTTTAATGGGTTTAAAAATGCTCATTTGTTAATAGTAAAATTCTTTATTTTTCCAAAATTGACAAAAACAGTCTTTTAAACTCACATTCTCTAATGTGGGGGACTTCTCTGGTTATAAAGAAGATTATATTGAGGTTTTTAAGTTAATGAGCCTCCTGCTTACATCATTTCTGCCTAGTTCTGTGGAGAAAGAGTGACGACCACCTGCTGAAGTTCAAACTGAGCACGAGAACGATGAAGAGAGGTGATTTAAGTGACTTGGTTTCAGAAATTGCTGATCTGCTGGGATTTTCCCAGGCCAATAAGGCCACCAGCAGAAGATCACACCAGTGAGTAAGAACAGGAAACTGAGGCTATAATTCTCACAGACTAACAAAAAGCGACACTGTAAGATGGCAAAATGCTTACTGCTCTGACAAGTCTCGATGGTCGAGTCAGAGTTTGGTGTGAACAGCACGAATGCATGGATCCGATCCTTAGCGCATCACTGGTGCATGGTGGAATGGGAAGTTTTCATCGTTGCTATGTAGCTGACAAGTCTGGATCAACTGTACGATGGTATCATGTTAACATGGACCAAAGTCTCTGAGGAATATTTGCAGCACCCTGATGAATCTGAGCCATGAAGCATTAAAGCAGCTCTGAAGCAAAAAGGAGAACACTGTAATAGCAAGTACAGTGTTGGAGCAGGTAAACCAACATAAATATTTACACTAACTGCTTTATTAGCATTTTAGTAGTGCATTATTAGCGATTTATTAGAGGCTAGTGTAAATATTTCTGTTTGGTTTCTCACCCTGTGGAAGCTGCACAAGGATCCTCTGCATTACAAAGTGCAGCTGGCTGGACTCACAAGGCCTTTTTGTTTTATGAAGCAGTGTTTCCAACATTAAATTCTTCTCCGTGCTTCCCCACATGCTCACCTCATTATTCAGGCCCTGATATTCTGACTCATACTGAAGTCCCGACTTCAGCTGCCTGCAGACGACCTCTTCAGTCTGACACTACCTCATTTCCTGTATCCTGTGAGCTCATTGGTGTGATACACTCACACACGCTCATACGTTTAAGTCCTGGATTTCTTCTCTCCACATGTTACTGTGAGGATGTTTTAAACTCACTGTGCTTCTCCGCTGGATTCTCTGGCAGCTCATCAGGTTACTGCAGAACATCTGTCAGGCCACCAGCTCCAAAACACTCCAAAACACTCCTGAATGTCTGTGATGAGGTCATCCCACACAGTCACATGTCACGGTTACAGTCGTGACATAATATCACATTAATTTGACAAATTTCCAACCCTTAGAGTTCAACTCAGGTGGTCAAGTTGTCCTGAGGAGCTTCAGATCAAGACAATCTCATCTTCTGCAAAGTTTTATTTATATTCTGGATGAAGAAAATGTTTTGGGATATAAAATAACTAAAAATCACGATAGTTCTGTTTAGCGCCCCCTGGTGTCTGGATGCTCTTAAACTATACGCTCCAAATATGCCATTTAGTCATTAATCTTATCCAAGAAACATTTTATTTGACTTTTATTTTAATGACTTGTGGAGAGGAAGTGTGAGAACTGAACAGTGTCAGAGATTCATTGTCCTCTTACTATTAACCCACATAGAGAAATTAGTTAAATTTTTGTCAACCTAATCATAAAAGTTAATTAATAATTCTTACGTAATTTTTGTCATTTTGTGAAGTCATTGAAGTTAAAGGGAATCATATCGGCTCAAACAACTGACATCAAAACTCTACTTTTCTGTCGAAACATAGACGCAATGAAGGTTAGCGAGAAAACCACAACTCAGAGGTCAGAGCTTGAACCTGACTATCTATATTAGTTATTGGCTCAGTCATGTGGGTCTAGAGGCTGGCTGGTGACTCCCTGGCAACCACTGGCGTCTAGGGAAAGCTGTGTATTCCCACCTAGTTGGCAACTGGTTGCTGGCATTTGCTTGCAGTGACTGTGAAATCACCTGCTGTTATTGCTGCAGTTATGCAGATCTAGAGAGTAGTCAGTAACTCTTGTGATTAAAGCATCTGAACAAAATGGGTTAGGCCCCGAAAAGTGCGATGCAAACCAAAAATAGAAACTCTTTAACTTCAAAGTAAAAGTTGCACCTTTTTAACCAAATTGGTTACAACAGTAAGACATGACTTTTACTCTGAAGACGTTTCCAGTTTGCATCACACTTTTCCAGGTTTCACTATCACTCCACAAGAAGTTGGTTAGAAAAGGTTAGCTGGTAGAAAGGTTACCATCTGCCATGTAAACTATGGGTGACTGCAGTAATCTGCTACCAACTAACGCAGAAACAAGAAGGTTTTAGGAGTTGCACCCTCTTTGTGATCACACCTGTACCTGGCGCCAGACATTAACCACTTGCCAAATATTTGGGGACCACACATTTTTCCATAGTGGCCAGAGGTTGCCAGGAGCCACTGTCCAGTCCCTAGGTGTGACCTTAGCGGGCCATCATCGAAACATTTGAGATACTTACTTTTCGGACCTTTTTACCACGAAAGTTTTCTAAGTCTGAGAAGAGGAGCTCTTGCTGCACGACTCCACTCCTGACCACCTTGGCATGTTTTCCACTATTTGTTAGTTATGAATGGGTCGCTGCAAGCTGACATGCAAATACCACTGATATTTACTGAGCTCATTAGCGCTGACCAGCTCAGCTCCAGCACCCTCTTTGAATGACCACAGAGCGTACAGAGGATTTTTTTTTCCCACCCTCAAATTCTTTAGACTGTCACTTTAATGGATGTTGGTGGACGTAAATTCTGAACTCTGCAGTTCTGGATCACTTACGGAGTCTAACATGAAAAATGGCAGAAGTCCTCGAGGATGGTGGGCCTCGGAGAGCAGAAACATGTATACTTTGAAACGCTCCAGGAGCATGACAGCTTTTTTAAGATAATATCATCTATGTGAGAGGGAAGTTCTCAGATACTTCACTTCAGTGGAATATGAAAAAATATTATATTTAAAGTAAAAAAACAAAACAAATACAGAACAATGCTAACATTAATGCAGGTCTGTATTTGAATGTTGTAGCTGATCCAGGAACAGCTTGTTGGAATTAACTTCAAGCTGTTAGATTCCTAAAAATGAACTTCAGGTTACCTCCAAAGGGTCAGGGCATAAGTCTGACAGCTCGCAGCTATTCCACATCTTCAAATGTGGCTTTCTGTCAGATGTCATTGCCAACATTCAATTCAATTCAGTTTTATTTATATGGCTCCAAATCACAACAGCGAATACCTCAAGGTGTTTTATATTGTAAGGTAAAGACCTACTATAACACAGAGAAAACTCTAACAATCAGATGGCCCCTATTATCTAGCACTTGGCAACAATGGGAAAGAAGAACTCAGTTTTAACAGGAAGGAACTAGGCTCCGGGAGAACCAGGCTCTGGGAGGGGTGGCCATCTGATGCCATCTGATGCCACCGCTTATGTGCGATTTTATGACAGCAGTTAATCATCATCAGTCTTACCCAGAAACATTTTCTCCTCCTTCAACCTTTGCTCCTGGAGCTGAAGCTTTATTTTCTGTATGAAGCTGATGATTATAAAACAGTCTGATGTGTCCGTGACTTCAGTGTCAGAAGGAGTTGGGGCTTTTTGGACACTCGTGTGATCTTGAGCGATCGTGGCTCAAGAGTTGGGAGTTCGCCTTGTAATCGGAAGGTTGCCGTTTCCCGGCTTGGACAGTCTCGGTCGTTGTGTCCTTGGGCAAGACACTTCACCCGTTGCCTACTGGTGGTGGTCAGAGGGCCCGGTGGCGCCAGTGTCCGGCAGCCTCGCCTCTGTCAGTGCGCCCCAGGGTGGCTGTGGCTACAATGTAGCTGCCATCACCAGTGTGTGAATGTGTGTGTGAATGGGTGGATGACTGAATGTGTAAAGTGCTTTGGGGTCCTTAGGGACTAGTAAAGCGCTATATAAATACAGGCCATTTACCATCTTTTGATGCAAATGTTCAAGACCCTAAAATGAGAGCAAACTGTTCAGCTGTTGTTCTAGTGTTGGGTGAACTTCATGGGATCTTGTGTT